AGAGAGGCGGGGGGAGGGGCTTTTCCACTCTTTAGAGGAGGGGTAAGGACTTGCTTTAAGTGTCGCTGTGGTGTCATTAGCTGGCAGGATGGTTCCAGGGACTTGTGGGACGGCACTAATCAAATGGAAATATTTAAAAGAAGATAAAGTGCAGGAATAGTGGGAGAAACAGTGCTTGAGAGCTCGGCGAATTTTAGGCATGATATATTCAGAGCTTCCTGCTCTTCATCTGAGCTCTTTATTCGAAGCTATTAATGCTTCAGAAGTCGGCAAACCCCTCTCTCTCGTACACTCACTCGTGAAAATCAAACCCCAAAATGGCCCCAACTTCATATCAAAGGTCATACCGCACTATTAAATCCAATGCCGTATGAAATTTTGTGGCATTTAAAGCGCAAATGAAACGAAATTAGCGCCTAAAAGGGGCAACAAGGGGCAGAAGAGGCGGCAGCAGGAGCATAACGAGGGGCAGGCAGGCAGCATAACGAAGGGGGGAGAGGGGCAGGCAGTCGGCACAGCAGTGAGCAGAACGAATGAACGAGCGGTACAGCAATGAAAAGGCATTTAAAATGTCAACACGACCACAACATCGTGTGCGAAATGGTCAGCAAAAGGTGTGTATACATATCCCCAGATACATATGTATCTGTATCTGTATCTGTATCTGTGCAGTGCTCTGTATCTGTATCTGGGTGGACTTTTGCGGTTGCACCAAAAGTAAACCAAAAGTGACACACAGCCAGAGCGAGAGAGACAGGGAGAGAGAGGGTCAAAGGTGAGAGCAGGGCAGAGGGTACGCTTAAATGCTTGACCACGAAAAGGCCATTAGAAAATGGTCAGCGTACTGTTGGAAGGGAAAGGGTACGGCCAAAGGGCACGGAAAAGCCATCGCCTGTGACAGTCGGAAAATTAGAAGCGAGCGAGCGAGCGAGAGCTAGAGTTTTCGCAGAAGAAAACCACAAAACGTTTGCCCCCGAAAAACACACACGTGTAAAAGTTTTACCAAGTTTTTTTTTCCCCCGGCCAGAAGGTGAAACAGGTAGAGACAGATCTCTCCGGCAAAAGGCCAAAGGTAGGAGGGAAAATGTTTTCGCCTGGAAACTTGACGCGCGTTGGAAAATCTCAGAGACGGAGAGAGAGACACGTATAAACTTTAATTTACAAAATTTAGAAAATTTATGTATACATTTTTGCCTCATTTATGGGCCACATCAAACATTAAAGACAAGTTTTTCACACATTTTGGACAAAGTTTGGACAAATCACTTACTAATTGATGGACCATGTCCTTAAATACTTTGGTATGTATAGAATAATCTGGGAAATAGTACAAAAAACACTTTTCTTTAATGAAAATAGTTGGGAGATTGCTTAACTATTAATTTTATATGTGTTTTAATATAAAGATCTGTTTTTTTGAGGCTTAGATTAAGTGTTAAGCCTAGAATTCCATGATAAAAGAAGTATCTTTGGCTGCAAGTAAAAGTGTTTTAAAAAGAGGGATATTACAGATCCCTGAGTCTTCGAAAGGCGACTGCTCTACAGGCAGCTGCTTTGAGGACTCCCTTTTGAAGGTGTCTGTCCTTCCAGAGAAGCTCCAGGCCCAGCTACAGCTTCCAGCTGAAACCCTGTCCGGATGACCTCATCTTGGTCAAGTGTGTGTTAAAGGGCATCCAGCCAGGTCCGCCTCTGAGGCACCTACAGAACGGTCAGGATATCACACTCTTCGATGGCCTGAGGAAAGGGCTCTCTTCTGTGGATATTCCTGGATCTGCCCTGTGAAGATTACCTTCCCGGAAGGCTTTCAAATGCCAAGACCATCAAAGATCTGGGCGAACAGAAGCCAGCTCCTTCTTGAAGTAACATTTCTGGTAGATATTTTGTTGATATTCATTACAATTTTGTTTCAATTTATTCTTAAGCAATATATGTATATACCAGCACGCTGCAAAATGTTACAAAAGTGTTTACATTTTGCTTATATTTTTAAGTGCACACCACCAGACCCCTTCTCCACCCCATGGCTGGTAGCTCCAGGATGTATGAGCCACCTCTTCAGCCTCTCCGGCGTCCAGCTCCTCAAAATATGGCTATTTCAAGGGCTCATACATGGCAGTGGTTGTGCTGCCAAACCATTATCAAACCGTAATCCTCTTGGGGAGTATTTCCACCATGTTTTTTTATCATTATCCCCCTCTGGAAGTATTACCCACTCGGTTTTCCATCACTAATTCCCGCCTGGCAGTGTTTCCACCCCTTTTTCCAACAACTAATAATCTACCTCTTGTTTTCCAATGGCCAAATCCACTCTAGAAGTGGATACTCTCAATGATAAGCGTTTTCAAAGGCCACATGATTTTAAACAGTTATCAAAATATTTCAATAAATTTTCTTCATTTGGGATTTTGCATTCTCCGTTTGGTTTTCATGTTTTAAGTTATTTATTCCATTTTATTTATTATTTATTCCATTTATTAAGGCCTGGTAGTGCCTTTGGGTTTGCCAAGAAAACACTTTCCTTTATTTCCATTTATCTGAGAGTCATCTGCCATTTGTTGCTGCATTTAAATTTTCACTTAATTTTCCCATGAAACACACATACATTTTCCCTAAACAAATTTTCCCTTTCTTAGATTTTTTTGGGGTCCTGTCTAGAAATCAACAGAGTCACGCTCTGATTCCCCTAAACACACAAAAAGATACACCTGCATTTGTATCTGTATCTTCTCCGTGTGCGTGTGTGTGTGTGTGTGTCGGGCTTAGATGCGTGTTTATGTCTGTGTGAGAGAGTGAGAGTATAATCTGTTTTGCCGCAATGCCGTTGAATGTATAATAAAGCACATGACTTTGGTTCTTTTATGGTTTTTGTCCCGTGCTTAAATTTGGGTACGCCACACAGTGGTAGCCCCCTGCCACAAGCCGCATGCCGCATGCCGCATGCCGCACCTTGGAAACATCAACAGAAACAATGACCACTCTGGCACGACCCTGCTTCTAAATCCCGGACTTGCCAGACTCCAGACCAAATGAGGATTTGGGGCCAACTCCGGAATGACTGAGGTTTTCCTCTGGACTTTGCTGTTGATGTTTTCCAGGCAGCGGCAAGAGGCAGTGGCAAGACCAACGACAACAATGTGCAACAATTAAATGTCAAACAGTATGCTGGCAGCCTTTCGCATTTTGATGGACGCTTAAAATCACTGCAACTGTCAGCGTGACTGGAGCTTGGGAGCCGAAGCCGAAGCTGAAGCCGGAGCCCCGTTCATTTGTGGCATGAACACAAGTCACGGAACGGTCACACACATCACACACACAAAGCGAGAGAGGGAGAGCCTTTGCTGAAGAGCCAGGTGCACATAGCGTTTAAAATGTACACCCATAAACAAAAGTGCAAACAAAGCCATAAACAAGTGGAGCTACCAGCGAAGGGTAAAGGGAGGGGTCTAGGGGGTGTGGCAGGAACTTTCAACCCCCGCAACTACTATGTTTATGCTTCTCTATATCCTTTTTGCCGATGTTCTCTCTGTGTGTGTGTGCGTGTGTGTGTCCATGCCCGCCGTTCGCCGACGCCGATGTCGTTTGTTAGGTTTTGCCTGCCTGCCTGTCGCGCTGCCCTGAAAGGCACAGTGGTTCCACAATCAATGAGAAATGAAGGAAATTTTATAGGGAAAGACAAAAGCCAGCTCTAAGGTGGATTTGAGGCGAGTATCATGATGTCGCGGCACGTGTGCTGCCACAGAAAATCTCTTTCGATATTCGATGAATTTTTATTAAAAAATCAAAGAGTTCTTTAGAGCCGTTCACTAGGAAAGCCAAAAACTAAAGCCCAAACCTATTTTAAGGAGCAATAAGGCGGAGTATCTTAATGTCGCGCCACTTGTGCCTCTACAGAAAACATCATCCTTTCTTTTCAATGAAATTTGTTTTAAAAATGTCGAAGAGAACCCAAAAGAAAGTTTCCCTCCTCTCAAGGACCCTGAAAATATTCTCCTTCACATTTGCAATCACTCCTGCCACACTGCTCCAGCTGCTGGTGGCACTTGCACCTCTCTGCCGTGCCACGTAGCGACATTGAATGTCTGTGCAACACCGCGGCGCTTCCATTCCATTCCATTCCACTCCATGGCGACGGATACCTTTCCACTCCATGCGGAATACCATCCCCGACCCCCATCCTGCCATTCCCTGCATCCACTGCCATTCCGGTGGCTGGTCTCTCGCTGCCTCCCCCTGCCACTGCCACTGTGCCACACAGCCTTACAGTTTGTTAGCTTTGCTTTGTGATGTGGAGCTCGCCTCGCAGCTCCCTTCTTCTATGATACTCAACGTGTGCCCCCAACGTCCATGACGGCGGATGGGTGGTAGTTTTATGGCTGTGTTGGGGGGAGTGGAGCCTTCGTCGAAGCCTTTGCCTGTCAGCGTTTTCTCTGGCGCTGCTGCTGCTGTGTGCGCTTTGTTTTTAATACATGTACGTGGCGGTGGCATCATCATCGTTTATTATTTTATTTTTGTGTGTGCGTATACGTAATATGGCAAAGGATATGGCCCAACAGGACACAGATACAAACATAACCCATGGGTCCATGTCACGCACACATTAGAAGGTAAACAGAGCACAGGACACGCGTTGCGTTGCGTTCCGTTGCGTTCCGTTTCGTTTCGTTTCGATCGGCCACTCGGATGCATAAACATTTGGACATTCCACAGCCATAGCTCCTTCAGGACATGCTTATCCTTGCGTGTGGGTTGCGAACTAAATTAAATTTTTACATCAACATTTGCGCTTCATTAGAGCCGCAGCAGCAGCAGCAGCAGGGGGACTCCCAAAGGATGTGTCTGTAGTGGAGTGTTGCCCCTGCCGCACTTGGACAAATGAGTGGCGCAAACACCACTAAATTAGCCCCTGAAACGGAAGGAAGCAATGGCCAGGATGTGTGCCGCCTGCGGCCCAATGGCTCCAGCTGATAATTGGCTATAAGAAGGAGTAAGGCTTTAAGAGAGACTTTTTCTGGAATTTAATTTTGATTTGGATACATGACAATACTAAAGGACTAAAGGACACTTTCAATCATAATTAACTTCCGTCTCCAGCGGCTTCTTGGACAGACAGCAGATCTTTCGCTTAAGCACACACAAAGTGAGAAAATAACCCTTGAACTGATCCTTGCAGTTGTCCTCCTCCCGACAGACGCCACCTTCGGCATAACAGGACTTGAAATCTGTTCAGTCAGGGAATAGAAGAAAAGAGATTAAGGATACAGGTATACACCCAAAAGGACACTCACGTTCCTGCTTCGGATGCTGGAGCGTGTAGTAGCCGCCCACTATAAAAAAAACTATCACAAAAATTAACGACAATATGCCCATAACGATGTTCAAATTAAATTTGATCATTTTGGATCTAGGCAGCCCAGAATCCTCTGGGTTTAATCACAAATAAGATTTTTTAGCTTCTTTCAAAGTGAAAGTTAATTCTATGATTTCTCTCTATTTTTGTTTCTCTCTCTACTTTCTCCCTGTTGATGAAGTCCCTCCAACAGCCTGCTGTGCTGCTGCTGCTTAACCCTCTAAGTGAGTGAGTAAATTATTATCATAATAATGCAAAAGTGCAGCATTCATCTCTCTCTTCCTCTCTCCCTCTTTCTCTCACTCTCTGTCCATCTTTCTACGGCTGTCTATGGGGCCAATGTTCAAATTGAAACTTCTTAATTAAAAACTTGCAGAAGCAGCAGCAAATCGAGGAGAAGGATGCACGGAGAGAAATCACAAAACACTTCTGAAGAGTAAACCTCAAAAAAAGGAAGTATATTTGCAGAAAATACTAGAAAAATAGCAGAGAATACCAAAAAACGATAAGACTAAAGAAAATACCAAAGTACTAATACGAATACTTACTAAATACAAGAAAAATAGTCGAAATTACCAGGTAATACTAAGAAATACTCGAAAAATACCAGTTAAATACTGGAAAAAAACTTAAAAATTAAGAAAGATCAAATAATTTTTCATAAGACTAGAAATACTGAAGTTACAAGGTAAAACTAGGAATTACTCGAAAAATACCAGAACAATACTAGAAAAACCCATAAAAATTAAGAAAAATTAGATACATTTTTCATAATACAAGAAATACTATAAAAATACTCAAAATTACCATATAATACTAGAAAATACTCGAAAAATAGTAAACAAATACTAGAAAGTACCATACAAAAAAAGATATATATGATACATTTTTATACAGATAATACTAGGAGATACTCGAAAAATACTAGATTCATACTATAAAATACCATGAAAACTAAGAAAAAGACATACATTTTCCATGATAGCACTAAGAACAAGAAAATACGATAAAACTTAAAAATGTAAAATACTATTGAATACCCTAGAAAAAAAGCAGAAAAAATACTAGAAAATACCACATACTTTTAAGTTTTAGCAACTAGCATATAATACTAGATAGTGCCTGTACAATATCAATTGATATACCAGAAAATATAAGAAAAATATCGCAAAATACTAGAAAAGTCCACTTTGTTCTGAAGAACCATACATATTCCAACAGATTAATAGAAAATTCAATAAAATATTCAAAATAATCACTGAATATAAAAAAATACAATCAAATACTGGAAAAGTACTGGAATATATCACAAAAATACCGTAAAATGTCATAAAAGATCTAAAAATACCAACTAGTACTTACAAATCAACAGAAAGTGTTACATTTTAGGAATAAACTGCTATAGGGGGCACTGATATGTGGATAGAGACTCTTGTGAGCGAACTTTAAAAAATTATGATGTAAACACACGCGTGTGCACACATTTCTGAGTGTAGAAGGATACCACTCTCTGTCTGAGCTACGCTGCACTGCACTGTCCTGCTCTGGGCTGGCAAAATCAGTGTGAAGCAAAATAAACCGCTTAAGGACTTGCGACTTGGCTGGCGCGTTGGAAATAACAAGAAAACTGCCCTCCAGCTAGAGTCCAGGGCCAGAGCTAGAGAGAGGGAGAGAGTCCTAGCGGAAGTCCTGGACGGATGTGCTTGGTCAGACCTATGGCTCCCGCTGCCACTGCTGCTGCTGCTGCTGCTGCTGCGGCATTTAGGGGCAGAACAGTACCACTACTCGTCTCGTCTCGTGGCAGCTACAGTGGGAAAAAAATTCAATTAAAAGCAACAGCACGTAACTGAAACTTTTCCTCTTTTTCCGTCTCTATATTTTCCTTCATTTCTTTTTTTTTCTGCGCCCAAGTTTTGTATCTTTTCAGTGGTGCCACTCTCCACTCTCTGTATGTGGGGGGTGGGCTGGGAAAAGCATCTGCCTTTCCCCAAAAGCACTTTGAGTTATAACTTGGGTGCCAGCTGTCTCTCGCTCTCTGAAAGTTGCATGCGGCACACAGTCCCGGAGTTGCAGCAGCGGCTGAGGCAGCTGAAAATTGAAGCTATCATCAGGTCTGTGGCTTGCCACAAAAAACGCTGCTGCTACTGCTGCTGCCATTGGGGAAGGCTTATACTTATACCTTGGGCTTTTACTATTGTAATATTCTCCCTCTCTCTCCCCCTCTCTAATGCCAGATAATGTATTCTTCTTGTGGGTTTTTTTCTCCTTTTTGGTTCGCTTTTTTAATCAAGTTATTCACTCTTTTCTTTGGCGGCTCATCCTTCCAGCCCATCCTCTTCCCTCTTCGAGTGGTGGCTTCTATCTGCTTCCTTCCTTCGATTGTAGCTTCTGCCATCTCTCTGGCATCTTTGGAAGTAGCTTCTCCCCCTCTGCCCTTTGCCGGAGCCTTCAAGTGCAGCTCCTTCTCCGCCGCCCTTGCTCTTTGGGCTTGAAATGTATCTGCCTAATGCAAGGCGATTCGCACATTACGTATTCGCAGTGGAGGCCTGCCTCCCCGACCCAATGACGTCACTAGAATCAGGTCAACATTGGGGCCGCTGGAAGCCTATATCTAAAAGGGGAGTGAATCTCCCTCTCTCTGGCTGTAAGAGAAGGTTGAATCTTTGGGCTGTGTGGAGCCGAGAATCCCTGACTTCTGAAGAAGATTCCATGGGGGGGGGCGGCAGGCAGGCAGAAGCACATTCTATGAGGCGGGAGGGCTCGTTCTTGGGGCATACAAATTATGTTGTGGAGCCTGCAAAAATGGCAATTCACTCTCTTTCCAACTCTCTCTCTCTCTTTTTGTGGCACATACACCTTGAGCTTGAGCTTCTATGGCCTCCGCCTCCTTTCCCCGTCCGCTGTGTGCTACTTAATGGCCATTCATTGAGCCTCCTGCCCCCTTCTCTGCGGCCTCCGTTTTTTTGACATTTTTTCAATTTTTTCTCCTGCTTTTTTTTGGGTGGTATTTTGTTTGGGGGTAAATTAAATACAGATTATGCGGAAGGACCTCTGGCTCTTAACTAAATGAAATGAGAGATGAGAGGAGAGAGGAGAGAGAAGAGAGCAGAGCATAGGGGGAAAGGCAAGGGGAGGGCCACTCCCCCACTGACATGGCATTTATTTTCCATATATTGATTGCTTTTTAATGGATATTTTAGGGAGTACAGGCAGTGCCTTCTATTAATTTTATTTACACAAAATATTTACTTTATTTGGATATTTATTTACATAGTTAAATGGTTCGGCCCCAACAATTGTTGTGTGCTGTGTGTTGTGTTTGATTTAGTGGGGAACATTTCGCTGGGAAATTAATTGTTTGATTTGTGGCAGGCATTGCCCAGAGGATGCGATGCCACGTTTCTGGTTTTGGTTTCCATTTTCAATGGAACGTTTCTTTTTTTTTTTTTGTTTCCACTCCCACGTTTTGATGTAGGTCATTCGGTGGCACTCTGTCTCCCCCTGTATGGCCCCTCTCTCTCTAGTGATTTACAGTTTTATTTGCACAGTTTATAAATAAAACTGTCACTCTCGCTCTCTCCCTCTCTCTGGCCGTTTACTGACGTTGGCAGCTGCTCATCTAATGGCATTTTCCACTGCCTTCCACCACCACCCCAAAAGTCCTGTTTAAAGTCCTTTTCCTCAGCCACCCACGCAACCATTTGTTATGGCACCCACCCACAGCACCCACAGCACCCACAGCACCCTGCACTCTACACCCCCCTCACTCTCTCGTAGTCCCCACGTCAGTCACGGGTCCATTCAATCAGTGCGAATGTCAATCAAGCGGGCGGACTGCAAAGCCACTGCATTAACAGCGGGACAGCGGCGGCAGGTGGAGCAGCAGCAGAATCCAAAGTAAAGCAAAATGGGAGCCGGAAACCCAACAAACTGAAAAAAAAGATAACACAAACAAAGCAGAGAAGCAGAAAGAATACAACAAATGTTGGAGAAATATTGCCACAATGTATTGTAGTTTTCTTTTGTATATAATCAAATATTTTCTGCAATGATTGATATTTAAATAAAAGATATCACATGACAGGTATTAAATTGTAATTCTTTTGTAATGCAAAAATAAATTCCAAAGATGTTTTAGATTGGTTATTGAATTATTTGGCCATTTTTTATTTATTTTTTTTTAGAAATTTGTAGATTTTATTTTATTCTTTTCTAGTTATTTAATTAATTTAACTTAATCTCGCCAACCCATTATACGAGTAGTTTTAATAATTAAAGTACATAATTTGTAAAAATAACAACCAAAAATTGAGGTTATAGAAAAAGTTCCATTCAATACTAATCCTAAAAAAAAAATATTTAAGAGCACAAAATTTAGTTTTTACCTGAAAAAAAAACAGAAAATAATGTTTTTTAAATACCAGAAAAGATAAAAACTTTAAAACACCGGAAATTCCAGACAATATTCGAAAATACCAAAAAAAAATGTAATAAAAATACAGAATACCACGAAAAACATAACATAAAATACTAGAAAAGTACTCAAAAATTTCAGAAAAATATTACCTTGAATTCTAAAGCTCGAAGCTTTAGAATAAAATATTATTGTATGCTGAATGTTCGAAGAATTATGATAAATTTCCAGATGAAATCGGATCAGTTTTCTCTTACAAATTGTATAATGTTACTCGCTACACGCTCCCCCTCTCGAAAATACTCTTTTAGAAAATACTAAAAAATTGTATGATATACATAAAATATGCCAATAAAAACCATACCATAAGATACTAGAATAGTACTAACAAATTTCAGAAAAATATCACCCCGAATTCAAAAACCTCCAGAGCCAGAAACTCTCAGAATAAAATACTATTTATTAATGAATGCTTAATTTCGAAGAATTATGATGAATTTCCAGATGAAATCGTATCAGTTTTCTCTTACAAATAGTATAATATTGGTAGAATATTCGTCGACAAGCTCGTTTCGCCCTCTCGACCCTTCGTTTATCGCCATCAAGAGGACATATTTTTTCATAAAAGGTCTTTTCACGTGTT